CGCTTGCGTCCCAGTTTGTGAGGCGTTGGAGCGCCTTCTTGCCGACTGCTGCTCTCTTCGCAGGATCGATCTCGCTGTCCTCAGTAGGCCGTAACATGGCTTGAGCCAACTCGCTCAAATGACTCAGGTAACTAAGTGCAGGCGATGCGGCCGACAGGCTTGAGCCGTTGGACCAGGTCGAGCCGACCTCAAAAAACGGAGTCTGCGCAAGAAGAACTCGATCTGATGCGCTTGGGAGGTCGAGCCGATTCGATGTTGACGTCTTGAACACGATCATGTAGCAGAAGATCTTCCGGATCTGCGCAAAAGTAACATGTGAGTAGCTGAAGCGAGACACTGAGCATCTAACTCCCGAAGCCACTTACCTCTTCGTTCCAATGCAAAAAGAAGTGAAAGAAATTGTCGCGCAGTATCAGTTCCGTGACAAGCCGCTTGCGGACAGTAGTCGGCAACAAGTCGATGCAGTTGTAGATACATGTAAGCACTTTCAGTACCGTTTGCACATGCGAAGACTGCAAGGCGCTGCGCATGCATTTCAGAAAGTAGTCTCCATCAAATGCTGACCCGAGGCAGCGGCGGACACGACCGCCGAATTTCCCACAGTGTAACCCAGCTTCGGTTGCTGCCGGCAGTGTGGCTATCGAGGCTATCTCAAGCACTCGTTGCAAGATACCGAACGAGTAGTTGACACTTGCAGGGTCGAGGATGTTCGTGCCCTCCAAGACTATCTGCATAAGCACGTTCACCAGCGCTTCATTCTTCAGTACTTCACTGCCAGCCTCCAGCACAGTGTCAATCTCGCGCTCATTCCAATAGTCTTCCCATGGATCGCTCGTCTTGCCCTCGATAATAGAAAGGATGCGAAGCACAGAAGGCATCGATGAAGAATTCGCACTAGACCGCGATCGCCTTTGGCACATACGCTGGAACACGGCCACGTAGAGGCGAATAAGGGCAAAGTAGCCGGGCACGCAATGCCACAAAATCCGACCATCTGCATAGCGATGATTGCACCAACTACTCACATCGCTCAGTACAGCGGCCACGAACGCTACAGCCATGAGGTCATCCTTACCCGGTGATTTCATTCGCTCTATGAACGGGTCCAACCCGGCATCTATCTTGTCTGGTGTCGTCACTTTCATCTTCACAAACGCGTCATTCTGCAGCTTGTGTCCGATGTACAGCAAAGGTAGCTGATAAATAAAAGTCACTTCTTGCTCCTCTCCGACTCGGTTCATGCCCAGCTGAAACGCAGCTTCTAGTGCCACGGCAACAGATTTGTTGCTACCGCTTTTTTGTAACAAATCCTGTGGAATGCCCGGTGTACTCGAACCTTTTACAGGCACGACCAGTCGATCTGTGCCTCGCTTCGATTTGTATTCTGAAAATGAAGAAAACAGCTCAAGCTGCAAGTCGACGCCACTGATCCGGTCAGGCCGGCACCTAGATTCTGCAATACCGAGTATATCAAAACAAGCAAAAGTCAGAACGCCATCTCATCACTAGACTCACAACTGACCAAAGTGCTTTCAACACGATACCCGAGAGATCGTTCCAGTGGCGGCGGTACTGCCGAGGACTGCGCAAATTTCCGACACTACTTCCACAGTACCGGCGCTTTGTCTTGACAGGATGCGCAGTACTCTTCACCCCATTCGAACTTCCATTCGACACTTTGTCTATTCCGCCTTTCGTCCCGTGGCTATCGACATCATTTCCGACCCCTTCTAGCTTTTCAGTGCTCTGCAACACCGCTTCAAGTAACTTGGGCGTGGCAAACGGGAAGCGAAAGTACACTGCAGTGTAAACATGTACCGCAAAAAATCGGTACTCTCCTGCCATGAAGCGAGCCGAGCGGATCTTGGCCGAGCAGAAGCGCACACTTCGTTCCAACAATCCAATGTACCGTCGTGACACAAGCGAGTCCAGATGTACCTGCTGCCCGTCCAGCGGGTACCCTTCAATAAACTCGACACGACGACAGATGTACACTGCTGCCTGGAGATACAGAGACCGGTAATGGCTATGCGTCGGCAAGCGATCAACCGCCTTCATGAAATAGTCCCTAATCATCCAGCATCAAGCACACACACAAATGATCCAAAGAACCGCACCAAACACAGCAAACCATCCGTCCATCAGTACCCTGTCTTTCCAAAACCAATCACAAAAGAGATACCCCCCCACACACACACACTCGAGAGCGCCCCCTACCACAAGTCAAGCAGCACCGTCTGCCCCACATGGAGTGGCAACATCTTGTTAAAGTACGAGTGGTACGTGAGTTTCCGGTCCCCTGACGCCCCTGCGCTGCCTCCATTCGAAGCTTCAGCTGCTGCAGCCGTGCCAAAGTCCAAGTAGAAAAAGAACGGACGACGAAGCAGCTCCAGCAGCTCCAAGAGCGCCATCAACTTCTTCTCCACGGTCCAGCCATTCACGTCCGAAGAGCGACTGGCTCCACTGGGTCCCATCGACTGCGTGGGCCGCATGCTGCCGTTGCTCGAGATCGTTGGAGCGCCCGGAGCCGTCGCGGACTCGCGCTGCTTGGCGAAACTCCGGAGGTGCTGGTGCAACTGCGCGTTGAAGACCAGTCGGGCCTTTTCCGGGTGGCTGCCTCCCGTGCGGTACGGCATCGCGTCGGCCATCGATCGATCGGGCGCGTGCAAGGCGCACTCGCTCCTCCTTGAAGGGCACAGCGAGATTTGAACAGATCGAGTCCTGTCAGTACGTCCTTATAGTTGACGCCCGTTCTTCTCTTGACGTTTGTATGCCGTCTCCCTTTCTCGCGCGTGCGAGCGATTATTTTTATGACTATTTTGATGATTATGATTATTATTATCGGCACGGTTTTCGTCCTCAGAACCGACCGACGACAAGCGACTGGAGGTTCGCCGACTTTATCGCGACGGCTGCAACAACAGACGGTTTTGCTCTATTTAGAGCTTTCGGGACTTTGAAGTCGACGTACGTCCACGTGGATCGTCTGTCTGTGGCTGGCATCCTCTACCGCCGGGACAGTATAGCGAATCAGCTATCATTTGCCTCGGACTGCTGGCTGCAGACCAGCAATGGGTTCAAGTCAACCGTGTCCGTGTCTGACGACGTGAGGCTGCACCGACTTGATGATCTTTGTCGCCATCCACAAAATACGGAGGAATGGAACTGGACGCAGCAACCAGTTTGCTTGGCTGCCGAGAGCGTGAAGGAGAGACTGGACCGACTGTTTACTTTTGTCGTCGTAGAGCTACTGGAAGACACTGCGGTACTGAGTGCAACAAGTTGCGCTGTTGCGTTCCAAAGCTTGCAAAGTCGTGATGACGGTTCCAGTGTGTGTGGTATTAAATAGCATCTACGAATAAGTTAGGAGTCCTAACTAGCTTGCGTCGTGACAAGTGGCGGTCCTAGCGACCAGCTCTTGCTCGACGTACCAAGTAGCTACACGCAAGTCCAGTAGTACTGGCGGTAGTAGTGGTAATCATGGTGGTGCGAGTACTCCCCCGTTCCGACGGAGAACTTACTCGTTCCAGAACTCGGACAGATTTGCCTGTGGGATCTTGCGCGACGCACGCAACACGAGCATCTCCTCGCGCAAGGGCTCCGCCACGACGTCGCACGTACGGTCCATCTCATCTGCAATGGCAAAAGCCACTTCGTCACGAAAGCGCACGACGCGCTGTGGGGCCACGACCTCCAGCTCCTGGAGCTTCCAAACAAGCGAGTTCCGGCCAGCATTTGCCTGCTTAATGACGACCTGTCGTCGTTGCTCACTGACGCTCTCCGTCGCTTTCTCAATCTTCTCCAGCACGCCCATCGCACGCTCCCAGTGGTTCTGTAGCATGAGCATGAGTGCGTGCTGTCGCGACGTCCGTAGGAACGTGAGCGCCTTGCGCACACCCTCGCAGCCGGTGACGCTCGGCCACTGTACATTACCAGCGGCATCGCTCCTAGACGTCGTGACTACAGCGGTCTCTCTCCCCAACGACTCGACAGTCATTGCGGAGCGCGGCGACGACTCGATCCGGCGCTTGCACACTTTGAGCCGCGCCTCGCTTGTGACCGAGTCCCTTGGAGCTGACGAGGCTTCCGTGGCAGCACCTCCGACCGGTAGTGACGACTGCAGGCGCTTGTGTAGACGACGCGGGAGGTCGTGGACATGGATCACGCAGGACGTCATTCGGACGCTGGCTGTAGTAGGGGAAGCAGGACGAGAGAGACCCGTGACTCTTAAATAACGACGTACGCCACTGGACGGTAATTGCAAAGTGCCATTGCCAAAAAGGCTGGAACCTCCGGCGCTATTGCTCGAGCTCCGAGTCGATGATAGAGAGAGAGAGAGAGGGGTCAGGAAGCAGGCCGTCCGTCCGTCCGTCCGTCCACCTCTGATCAGCAAGAGCCGAGCTGCGGTTGGGGCAGGATTTGTGGCCTGTGGCGACTTCGCGACAAACGGGAACGGCCGTTGTGAGCAGAGACCGCGCGCGAACGTTGCGGACACATGGGCCGCGTTCGGTGTGGGTGCCGGGGAAAGCCCTAGGGCACTCACGGGCTCAACGAGGTCCGCTCAGCTCTCGCAGCGGCTACGGCCACGACCACCACGTGTTGCACACTGCGTGAACACTGCTGCGTAAAGAAGGACGAGAGGCCGCATTTCTGATGGCGGATTGGTTGGCGTCCACAGCGCCAGCCTCGAGCTTCCACGGAAACGCAGCTGCAGTTTACTAGAGCGGATCCCGTCTGCTGTGCGTTGCCAGGTGAGGCCATTGAGCTCCCGGGCCACCCGCCGCGTGAAACGGAACGACTCGAAGGAGGTGCTCGCATCGTCGCAGCTGCAGACGAGACTCGTGAGCTCCACGACTTAAACGTGTGGCTGTAGACGAGCCAGGCACAAAAAACGGACGGCACGAGGAACACACATGACATACGGACGGACTAGCCTGGCTATGTCCTTGTCTTGTGGATAGGTACGATGCGCTCCCGGACAAACGAGCCGCGCGTGCAAAATGTCTCTTTCTGTGGAAGTGCGCGCAGCCATTCCTGCACCTACCAGCATGCGACAATCTGTTGCAGTGCAGCCTCCATCGCTCCCTGTCTTTGGAGTCCACGAGATCACAAGCGCATGGCTAAGCCACATCCAGCTTGTGGACTTGCTCGCTCCACCGATTTGCTCGCCTCGTTGTGCTCCACAACTTGTGCGTCGCCGGCTGTCTGAGCCAGACCCAACTTGGCTACATCGTCCAGCAGCGAAGCCACGAGAAGTGTACCGATAAAACGTGGGAGGATCGTTTTGCGGTTCCGCGCACGTGATTGTCCGCAGCGACTCGCCACGGGAATTTCTCGATACGAACATGTGGCGTCTGAGTTGCATCATGCCAGTCGTCTGGTACGTATTTCTGCAGTCGGTCCGTCCAGCTGAAGCTGAAGCTCGACAAACCCAGCAAATCGATGTGGGTACCCCCAAACGATTCTAAGAGTGGACTTGCCGAATCACTCGTACCTGATCGCATCGCGACGGTACCGTCGTTGGCTGAAAAGTTGAGATATTTTACGAATATCTTACCATGAGAGTCGGGCGAGTAGCTCCGCTCGGGTGGGTTGGCTTACTAGTCGCGGTGCCAGCGGATGGAGCAGTCGACCCGCGCACGTCAGGTTTGCGTCAAGTACGTTGATAGATCTGCTGTTTATGTTGGTGATATCTGGTGTCTAGTGCACATGGCACGCGTTAGACGATCGCGGGCTCATCGACTTTCTGCCTCGTAAGGTCATCGTCTTGTCTCGTCATGGCGTGCGCGGACCCTATGGAATGGGCACTGAAGCGCCATCGGAAGAGATGATGAACAAGTACGTGCGCAATCCGGATGTCAAGCTACCCCTGAGTGCCTACGAATGGGGCACTTCGGGGACTGACGACCCGAGGGAGACCGTGTCACCGAAGCTCACGAAGCATGGTTTCTTTGTCGTAGAGCGCATGGGAGAGGTACGCCTACGTCGTTATGCATCGTGGTGACGGCAAGATGGTGCAGTGGTAATTGTGTGGATGACTAGATGTTTGCTGTTTCTCCCTTTTTTTGGACAGTACTTTCGAGATCACATGTACCGTGAATTTTTGAACGCCACGTGCAAAGAAACGTTTGCATATGCTGATAACAACGAGCGAGATAATGTGCGTGTAGTAGGTGCTAGCTGCCATGGCTGTATATGGTAGTTAAATGTAGTTGTGGATGCTGATGATTCCAGGTGACTGCGGTCGCGTTCCTGAGTGGACTCTATCCTCTGTGCGAAGAACTCGTGCCAATGACCGAGAAGACGCAGTTTCTGTTTGAGCAGGGACAAGACCCTACAGCAAAGTGCCCTGTGTGCTCGAAAGCCAGTGCGTATATGCAAACATGGGTCGAATGACACTTGTTGTCGGTTCTTGATCGTCTCGGTCTCTGACGGCTACTATCTTTGATGTGCTGTGCAGTGTACGAAGGCATCACCGGAAACAATGACACGATGTTTGTGCTACCAGAGATACGGGAGGAAGTTGCTGTAGTCAACGACGTTCTTCAGTGTTGTGCTGCATCTGTATGCAACCTTATCGAGGAGTCTGCTAGCATCAATTCGACACAGAGCCCCACCACGTGCGACTTGTTTGGCATCCCCACGAAATGGAACGGGGCGTTTTATCTGCCTTGGAGAGACACTCTCTCGAATGCGGACTATTTTTCTGAATGGTTGCTGCTGCAAAGTCTCAACAACATGAGCCTGCCTTCGCAGTTGTCATTCGAGAAAGTATTGTCTCTAGCCAAGATCCACGAGGTTGGGTTTCTGTGTGTTATGTTTGATCTCAATTGTGCTGTTTGCTGATGATCCGATGATGCTGTTGTTGCTAGACTCACATGGACCTCATTACCAATGAAATCAACAGCGCAAGCTTCGGCGGGACGCTACTCGCCCATCTCACAGCTAGTTTTGAGCAGAACGTACTGCAAAAGACGTTGCCCGTGGCAAAGGGCGATGGGCCTCACCTTGCCCAAGGACCGGAGAACCGACTGCTCTACTACGCTGCCCATGACATCAATTTGCTGTATGTCCGCAACTTGTTAAGGTGCGTTTGGAAAGTTTTCATTTTTATTGCAATTGCCAGCACGTCCTTGATCTGCGAACATTTTTGTTACGTCAATGCATTCTGTCCAACAGATTGCAGTGGTATACAAAAGGCTGGCACCCGCATCAGCCAGTGCCAGGAAGCATGCTAGTTTTTGAGCTCCATGCGACACCAGCAAAGACTAATGACCAACCTTCTCCCAGCATGTCCGAGTCTCGAAAGCTTCAGTCTACAACTACGGCTGAGGAGTACGCAACTTGGCGCACGGAAGGAGAAAACGGGCTGAATCTTGTCGATGACAGTCGGTTTTATGTTAAGCTGTACTTTGTCGCGGCTTCTCCTCAGCAAATTCGCAATGGTGACAAGTTGTCCCCTGAAAATGTAAGCCGTCTTTCTTTGCTGCACTCGAATCGATCTAATCTGACTCGAACTGTGTGTGCGAGCAGCCTCCAGACCGTGTGCAGGTTACCATCCCGTCGTGCTCAAAGGAGATCGACGCTGGTGACGGAACTACGGATATTCGATGTCCGTTTTCAACGTTCAAGAAGCTGATCGGCAAGACTCTTAACCATGCGTGCGTCGCTGACACCCTGCGTCCGTTCGTCGAGTCCTTGATTGACGAAGAAACGATGGACAAGGAATCGGCGGCAAATCGCATCTGGGGCGTCGAGACCAGCGGTTCCGGTCGCCTCAACAACTCGTCGGAGGTAGCTGCTGTGCACGAGACGCTATTGTGGGCGGTGTCTAGTTGCCTTGTTCTCCTCTTCGTGGTGCTTATGATTCGTCATACCGTCAGGCACCACCTGAGGCGTCAAGCATTCGAAGCTATTCCGCTGCAATGAACATTTACCAGTCGTCGGGCAGTCGGGTCATGATCAAGCTGGACTCGTCTGTGACCTGAGCCGCGTAACGCCAGTTACCGACAAGTAACTGCTTGCGTGGCTGGTATGTGTGTTCGACAGTGTTTCGTGCACCTTTATGCTGGATCAAACGCTCATAGAGACACGTATACGTGAAATACATTGCAGTGACAATGTGTCCAGCCAATGCGTAGTGCAGTTGCAACAGCGCCACAAAAGCCAAAGTCATAGCCATGCCGGCAGCACACGCTTGAGTCCAGAAGTTCGACAGCAGCCGACGACCAATTCCCGAAGTCGACACGCCAAAAGACAGCAACCTGGACCACGGGTACAGCAATAAAATGTCCGCGTCTCCACGACTGTCTTGGTCATTTGGTTGTTCCATTCTCACAAGTGTCAGATCCTCCCCAATCTCGAATGGCTTGGAAGCGATCGATACACTGATTGAGGCACCAAGCGCCTCCCTTCTTCATGTCTTTACAGTGCGCTACCAGATGCGCAGGCAACCGACGTGGTCGTTACATCGAGCTTCAATTCCAACGGCTTGCGAAAATAATGGGCAGCGTCTCCGCCTTCATGAGCTACCTCGCTTGCGAGCAGCTGCATCATTGGGAAACAGCACGGACAGAGTTGAGGGGGCGGATGTATGCGAGAACGTTCTGAAGAGTCCCTCGGCGTCCCGCAGAAATGTGGACGGACGATTTCCGGATGTACCACCTCGTCAGCCGAACCGCTCACCGTGGAAGTGTCGATCAGTACCTGCACCGCTAACACTTCAACAAGACATGGTCGTGATCAGATCACAAGATCGCCAACCTGCACGTCGGAATTCGCAGCACCACCATGGCTATCCCGACACTGAGCTCTCACCTTGTCCTGGTCTTTCCGTTCATACTTGCAGCACTTCAACAACAGCGATACCCACTCTAGTCCATGCCGATGGTAGCTGCAGCAGAAGCAGCAACATGGACACTACAAATGACAATGAAAGGCATCCCGAGTCGGTTCAACACCAACACTTGCCATATTAGCTCCTCGCAACCGCGTTCATAATCCTCGGACTAGCCGTGTCATCATGGTGCCGGCTATGGTGTTAGTCATGAGCTTCGACATCTAGTGCAAGACGCCCATTTCTGTCGTGACCATCCTGGGTGGCGCCGTAGCGAACGCTTTATTCGACTTGCGTAAGCGCCCCCCGAATGTGGATCGTCCTCTGATCAATCCACGGCTTGTACTGGGAACGATCCCCGTCGATATTGGCGCCACTTTCTTGACTGCAGTGATGTGAGGCTCATTCCGAGCCAGAGACTGTTGAAAAAGGCGTGGCGAAGTTTTATCCAGCTTCGATGGCGCGTACGTTCAGGCCAGTACGTCATCAATCAGAACGTTTCAAGGCCAAAGCACGGGGGCTTTTCAGCTGCTCTTGGCAGAGACCCAGCAGTTCCAAGCTTCACGGACGGTCAACAACCCGGTGACAACTCATCATTGCTCACACTTGCACCAAGTCAAGTCATGCAGAAAATTGGATGGACAAATCACCTCCATCGGCGGAAACCGCCACTGTTGACACGTTGTCACTGTCTCTCGTTCCAACGCACTCAAGCGATTTGTAAGAACGTGCGGTTCGGATGGCCACGATCCAGCACATTGGAACGATCAGTTTTCAATTCCGTCATGCCCTCGCTGACTGGCTACGAGACCATTCGAATGAGACCCCGAGCGTCGACTGTGACGCTGCTGATCTCTGTGCTCGCACTCTCCGTCGCTGCTGTATCGGCTGAAGATAACCACAGCAAAAGCTCGGACGATGGGGTCCCGGAATTGCGCAGCTTGTCAACCTTTGGTACCTACGATGCACTCGCATTGATCTTCATTGCTGTGGGACTGGCCATCTCGGCAGCGGGAGGTGTCGGTGGAGGCACGATCTTGGTACCCGCCATGGTCCTCATCATGAGCTTTGACATCAAACGGGCGACGCCCGTATCCAACCTCGCTATTGTCGGAGGAGCGATCGCGAACGCCTGGTTTAACTTTCGCAAACGGCATCCAGCCGTGGATCGACCTCTTATTGACTCGGACTTGGCACTGGCCATGATTCCGCTCGTGATGGGCGGTGCTATTGTAGGCACGGTGTTTGCCAAGCTCCTGCCTAGCTACTTGATTTCGCTTCTCTTTGTTGTCGTGCTCACTTTGGGGGGAGCACGCACGGTGTCGAAAGGGATCAAGATGCATCGCAATGAGACGAACAAGGGCGAGCAACGGGAGTCTGCGTTCGTAACGGAAGCAATGGGCGAGCAACGACAGACGACCGGCTACATCG